CGATTTAAAATAGTTGTTAAAAGAAACAGAGGAGGTGAGGAGAAATTTTTTCACACAGCGAGTTGTTTGGATCTGGAATAAATTGCCTGAAAGGGTGGTGGGAGCCAATTCGATAACAACTTTTACGAGAGAAGTAGATAATTATTTGGGGAGGACAAGTTTGCAGGGCTATGGGGAGAGAGCAGGGAATATAATAATAATAATAATAATAATCCTTGCATTTGATATAGCGCTTTTCACGTCGGGAGGACGTCCCAAAGCGCTTCACAGAACACACTGTAAAGTGAATTGACTGTATATTTGTGGGCGAACGCGGCAGCCAATTGCGCACAGCAATGTCCCACAAACAGTCGTAGATTGAAAATGACCAATTTATTATTGTTTTTGGTTTTGGAGGATTATTAGGCGTGAGGAGTAAGGAAACTTGCCCAAGGTTTCGCCCTGCCTGGAATTGAACTCAGGTCTCTCGCTTGCAAAGCGAGTGCTCTAACCACTGAGCTACAGGACTCCACTGTAGTGGAATGGGTTTGATTTGGATAGCTAAGAGCCGGAGCAGACATGACGGGCCGAATGGCCTCCTTCGGGCTGCATACTTCTATGATTCTATTATTCTAGCTATTAGAAAATAATCTATTTGCTGCAGAAGGTGGTTGAACAATTTATTTTTAATTGGAAAAATATCTCTAAAGTTCTTTCACTTCTGAGATTCTTTCAATTTTGAGGAAGGGTGAAGTTGCCTTTATCGTTCTCTGCAGGCTGCATCTGTTATGTTTGTATTATATTTCCAGAGCCACCTAGCTGGATTTAAATCTTCACTACTAAGTACTCAATCATATCTGCTTAAATTCCTCCTCCAAACCTAGTTATTTTGGCAATCCTGAGTTGCAAGTAAATAAAATTCCTGAGAAAAATGGATGGGGAGGGCGAAGAAAGGGAATGAAGCAGAATATAAAGATAGGTGCAAAAGAACACTTTTAGAACCTTTTTCGAGTCCACAGGCACAGGTTGTGAGAATATGTGTTTGATCCAACATTTGGGAAAATGTTAGCTTTATGGACCCATGTAACATACTGATTATGGAGGTCTAATTTGCAGATTGCATTAACCATATGCACTTGACTATCCTTTGGGGGGAATATTGAAGGGGAGAAAGGTTTCCGTGGAGCTGAGCTGGCACCAAGGTGACATGCTTGGCAACAAAATTCAGATTCATGTCAATCCTCTGTGGGGGTCTAGTACTCTGGTTCCTGAGGCAGGTGGGTGAACTCCAGTCAGCATAGTCATTGCCTCCAAAGTGACCATAATCAACATTACACCATAATAATCACCATTAGAGTGCTCACAATAGTCACAACTATAATAATAATAATCCTTGCATTTGATATAGACCCTTGTCACATCTTCGAGACGTCTCAAAGAGCTTCACAGAATATACTGTAAAGTGAATTGACTGTATTTTGTGGGTGAAACGCAACCAATTGCGCACAGCAGTGTCCCACAAACAGCAGTGGATTGAGTGACCAAATTATTATTATTTTTTAAGAGATTATTACCCCGGAAAATCGATCCGCCAACCGGATTTCTACTTCCTGCTAGGTAAACAGCTGGGTGGAGTAAGGAAACTTGCCCAAAGTTTCGCCCTGCCCGGAGTAATCACCACAGCCACCACCGTAGTGATTGAGTCACCATAGTCATCATTTTCAAAGTGATCACCATAGTTCCCACCATATTGATCACCACAATTATCATCAGTGATTGATATACTCACCACCATATTAATCCAGTGAATCAATAGTGGATCGTATTGTAGCGAGTAGTGTGTTGATTAGAGCACTCACCTCGCAAGCGATTGGCAGATTGCTTTCTCGGGAGTAATAATCCTCCAATAAGTAAATAAGTAATAAAAATTTGGTCACTCAATCCACGACTGTTTGTGGGACACTGCTGTATGGAATTGGCTGCCGCGTTTCACAAAATCTAGCCAATTCAATTTACAGTATATCCTGTGAAGCACTTTTAAGACCTTTCGAAGACGTCATAAGACTCTATACCAAATGCAAGGATTATTATTAAAGTGATCACTATAGTTAGTGCCATATTGATTACTTTGGTTACTGTCTATTGATCACTATGTTTACTGTCTATTAATTACTGAAGTCAGTATTCAATAGACGCTCGGGCGCTGGCAGCATCAGCCTCCATGGCTACACACTCAACCTCACGAAGCCAGTCAGGAACCTGGGTGTCTTGTTTGACCACGAACTGTCCTTTCTCCCCCACATCCGCGCCATGACCGGCACTGCCTACCACACCTCCGCAACATTGCCAGACTCCGCCACTGCCTCACCCCTCAGGCTGCCGAAACCCTCACCCACGCATTCGTCACCTCAAAGCTCGATTATGGAAACTTTCTCCTCATTGGCTTTCCCAACTCTTCCCTTCACAAGCTGCAGATTATCCAATACTCTGCAGCTCGTGTACTCTCATGCACCAGGCTCCGTGACCCCATCACTCCCACCCTCGCCCGACTCCACTGGCTCCCCATCCCTCAGAGGATCGAGTTCAAGATCCTAATTCTCACTTTCAAAGCCATCCATGGCCTTGCCCCCTCTACCTCTGACCTGCTGACTCCCTACCAACCTGCCTGCTCCTTCCATTCAGTGGGCTCCGGTCTGCTCCATGTCTCCCGCCCGACCTGCCCTACTATCGGTGGTCGGGCTTTCAGCCTCTCTACCCCCACACTCTGGAACTCCATCCCATAGTCCCTTCGCCTCGCTTCCTCCCTTGCCTCAAGGCCGGTCTCAAAACCCTGCTCTTCGATCGTTGCCTTCGGTTACCCTCCCACCTCTCTGCCTTCCCTCACCCCTACCCCACCCCTCCTCCATGCTCGGGTCCTGATCCCTGACTGTCCAGTGCCTTGGGAGTCCTCCCAACGTGAAAGGCGCTCTATAAATGTAACTTTGTTGTTGTGTTGTTGTCAGTGTCTAACGATTAGTCTAGCTCAGTTGATAGCAATTTCGTCTGAGTCAGAAGATTATGGGTTCAGGCCCCACACTGGGACTTAAAATTCATATAGTCTAAGCTGACAATCCGTGTTCTGGGCAATATTTCCCCAAATAAAATTGGACCTTCACTTGAAAGATTGTTTATGGGACATTCCTGTGTGCAAATTGGCTGCTCCATTTGCTCACAAAACAGTCACTACACTTGACAGTATATTCTGTGCAGCACCTTGGGACATCTCGCAACGTTATGTAAGAATTAATAGTATATTTATCTCTAGGGTCATTGTCTATTGATCACTATGGTCACTGTGAATTGATCACTATAGTCACTATCTATTGATCACTCTAGTCACTATCTATTGATCACTCTAGTCACTGTCTATTGATCACTGTGGTCACTGTGAATTGATCACTATAGTCACTATCTATTGATCACTCTTGTCACTATCTATTGATCACTATAGTCACTGTCTATTGATCACTATAATCACTGTCTATTGATCACTGTGGTCACTGTGAATTGATCACTATAGTCACTATCTATTGATCACTCTAGTCACTATCTATTGATCACTCTAGTCACTGTCTATTGATCACTGTGGTCACTGTGAATTGATCACTATAGTCACTATCTATTGATCACTCTTGTCACTATCTATTGATCACTATAGTCACTGTCTATTGATCACTGTGGTCACTGTGAATTGATCACTCTAGTCACTATCTATTGATCACTCTAGTCACTATCTATTGATCACTATAGTCACTGTCTATTGATCACTGTGGTCACTGTGAATTGATCACTATAGTCACTATCTATTGATCACTCTAGTCACTATCTATTGATCACTCTAGTCACTATCTATTGATCACTCTAGTCACTATCTATTGATCACTCTAGTCACTATCTATTGATCACTCTAGTCACTATCTATTGATCACTCTAGTCACTATCTATTGATCACTATAGTCACTGCCTATTGATCACTGTGGTCAGCCACCTCAGTCATCACATGAAAGCTGTGCTGTGGAGCTGCCTGAACACGTGGAGTGCCGGGGTCTTCCCTCTCGTTGCCTGCTGTAAAGTGCCGTGTTTACAGGACCCTCTTCTCACATGTAACGCGGGCAATAATTCACATGGAAATATGATTCATTTTCAATTTTTTTAAAAATGAAAGCGAGTCGCGGGGCTTGATTTAAAAACATTTTTTTTTGCACAAGGAGCGGTCAGGCACCGCGGCCTCGACAAATGCCAACCAGGCACCAGAGAGAGAGGCAGTGACTGAGCCACGCCAGGCACCAGAGAGGGAGGCAGTGACTGAGCCACGCCAGGCACCAGAGAGAGAGAGAGAGAGGGGGGCAGTGACTGAGCCACGCCAGGCACCAGAGAGAGAGAGGGGCAGTGACTGAGCCACGCCAGGCACCAGAGAGAGAGAGGGGCAGTGACTGAGCCACGCCAGGCACCAGAGAGGGAGGCAGTGACTGAGCCACGCCAGGCACCAGAGAGGGAGAGAGAGGGGCAGTGACTGAGCCACGCCAGGCACCAGAGAGGGAGGCAGTGACTGAGCCACGCCAGGCACCAGAGAGAGAGAGAGGGGCAGTGACTGAGCCACGCCAGGCACCAGAGAGGGAGGCAGTGACTGAGCCACGCCAGGCACCAGAGAGAGAGAGAGGGGCAGTGACTGAGCCACGCCAGGCACCAGAGAGGGAGAGAGAGGGGCAGTGACTGAGCCACGCCAGGCACCAGAGAGAGAGAGGGAGAGAGGCAGTGACTGAGCCACGCCAGGCACCAGAGAGGGAGAGAGGGGCAGTGACTGAGCCACCAACGAGCGACACTGGCAGTGACTCAGACGTACACCGACCAGCAGCGTGGCACTGAGTGAGACCAGGCACCAGCCGCCCCGAGAGGAGAGGAGAGGAGAGCGGGCGGGGGGCCGGCAGTGACAGGCGGGGGCCGGCAGTGACAGGCGGGGGCCGGCAGTGACAGGCGGGGGCCGGCAGTGACAGTCTGGCTGCCGTCCTGACTGAGCGGCGCGGCCCAGCCCGGCCCCGGCTCCCCTCGGCCTCGGTTATGGAGAACGACGTCCTGGACTCGCTCGAGGACTTGGGGTATGTGGAGCGCGAGGCCCCGGGAGTGGGGGGGCCGCGGCCTAACACTGGCACTGCAGCCTCAGCTCACCACAGGTTACACTGACCCGGGGCGGGGCGGGGGGGGAGTGGGGGTGGGGAGTGTGTGGGGATGGGGGGTGGAGGGGTGAGTGTGGTGGGGGGAGTGTGTGGGGGTGGGGGAGTGTGTGGTGATGGGGGGAGTGTGTGGGTGTGGGGGGAGTGTGTGGGGGTGGGGGGAGTGTGTGGGGGTGGGGGGAGTGTGTGGGGGTGGGGGGAGTGTGTGGTGGTGGGGGGAGTGTGTGGGTGTGGGGGGAGTGTGTGGTGATGGGGGGAGTGTGTGGGTGTGGGGGGAGTGTGTGGGTGTGGGGGGAGTGTGTGGGTGTGGGGGGAGTGTGTGGGGGGTGGGGGAGTGTGTGGGTGTGGGGGGAGTGTGTGGGTGTGGGGGGGAGTGTGTGGGGTGGGGGAGTGTGTGGGTGTGGGGGAGTGTGTGGGGTGGGGGAGTGTGTGGGTGTGGGGGGAGTGTGTGGTGATGGGGGGAGTGTGTGGGTGTGGGGGGAGTGTGTGGTGATGGGGGGAGTGTGTGGTGATGGGGGGTGGAGGGGTGAGTGTGGTGGGGGAGTGTGTGGTGATGGGGGGGTGGAGGGGTGAGTGGTGGGGGTGGTGGGGGAGTGTGGTGATGGGGGTTGAGGGGTGAGTGGGGGAGGTGGTGGGGGGAGTGTGTGGTGATGGGGCATGGGGGGGGGTGGAGGGGTAAGTGTGGGGGGGGTGGGGGGGAGTGTGTGGTGATAGGGGGGTGGAGGGGTGAGTGTGTTGGGGGGAGTGTGTGGTGATGGGGGTTGGAGGGGTGAGTGTGGGGGGGGGGGTGGGGCAGTGTTGGGGGGTGGAGGGGTAAGTATGGGGGGTGTGTGTGGTGATGGGGTGGAGGGTGAGTGCGGTGGGTGTGGGGGAGTGTGTGGTGATGGGGGGTGGAGGGTGAGTGCGGTGGGTGTGGGAGTGTGGTGATGGGGGGTGGAGGGGTGAGTGCGGTGGGTGTGGGGGGAGTGTGTGGGGGTGGAGGGGGAGTGTGGTGATGGGGGGGTGGAGGGGTGAGTGTGGGGAGTGTGGTATGATGGGGTGGAGGGTGAGTGCGGGGTGGGTGTGGGGGAGTGTGGGGGTGGAGGGGGGAGTGTGGTGATGGGGTGGAGGGGTGAGTGTGGGGGAGTGTGTGGGGTAGAGGGGGAGTGTGGTGATGCGGGGGGTGGAGGGTGAGTGTGGTGGGTGTGGGGGGAGTGTGTGGGGGTGGAGTGTGGAGTGTGGTGATGGGGGGTGGAGGGTGAGTGTGGGTGGGTGTGGGGGAGTGTGTGGGGGTGGAGGGGGAGTGTGGAGTGTGGTGATGGGGGGGTGGAGGGGTGAGTGTGGTGGGTGTGGGGGTGGAGGGGGGAGTGTGGAGTGTGGTGATGGGGGGGTGGAGGGTGAGTGTGGTGGGTGTGGGGGAGTGTGTGGGGGTGGAGGGGGGAGTGTGGTGATGGGGGGTGGAGGGGTGAGTGCGGTGGTGTGGGGGGAGTGTGTGGGGGGGAGTGTGGTGATGGGGGGTGGAGGGGTGAGTGTGGTGGGTGGTGGGGGAGTGTGGAGTGTGGTGATGGGGGGTGGAGGGTGAGTGTGGTGGGTGTGGGGGGAGGTGTGTGGGGGTGGAGTGTGGAGTGTGGTGATGGGGGGGTGGAAGGGTGAGTGTGGTGGGAGTGGGTGGATTGAGCACCTTATCATGTTGAGATATCTCAAAGCACTCACGGGATTTACTGTAAAGTGTTGTGACTGAATTGTGTGTCCACAATAGCCAATTTGCACACAGCGATGTCCCAAGAAACAGCCATGACGTGTTAACCAGCTGTTTGTTGGCCGGGAGACCAGGAGAAACTGCCTGTTTCTCCTGGTCTCCATCCATAGTATGGATCCAGGCCTCCAGTTTATTTAAAACCTTCTTGAAGCAAGGTTGCCACAACCAATTTCTTTTGGCAGCTGTATGTCTTGGTCTTGCATCCTATGTGGCTATATGTAATATATAAACTACTGTATTAGTTATTAATATTTGAAGAATCTTGAGACTTCTAACAACGTGATAAGGCACTCTATCAAATGTAAGGATTTTATTTTTAGAATATTTTAAAATGATTTCAACATGGACATGCAATTGTTTTATTTGCACCAGAGTCTGTTGAATGTGGCCCATGTACCTAATGTGTGAAGCATATGGTGTCATTGCTTCAATTGATTGTGGAATTAACTTTTTCTCGCAATTATCGTGTAGAAATTAAGCATCAGAGATACCGAGCACCACGGTGCTAAAATGAGCATAGAAATCTGTAGGTTCTAAACCGCTGATCTGGAACCAGAAAAAAATCAGGTTATGTGTGTCAAACTGAAATGACAATAGCATGAAAGATGTGATGTTTTATAACTGATTCAATGTGCTTGTTTTCTGTTGTGAAATATTGCATTTTTCCATGTATTCCCAACATAGTAAGTGAAAATGAAATCCACAGCAGATCAATCTTTACAGCAAACCATGAAAGAGAATGATGGATTAATCTTTTGATTTTGATTCTTGTGTATCTGATTAAAAATTGTGATGTAGTAACTACAAGATGATAAGATAGTCAGGACAAATGAGTGCGAGTAATGATAGATACCTTGACCTGATTACAAGGTCTAAGATGTCTGAGGAGATTCAGATAAAACTAATAGTGAAATGTTAGCAATTCTAGAAATTCGTACCCAATTGAATCCTGGACTGAAACAATCTTGAAATGACACCCATTGCATCTGTTACTCTGCTATATTTTGTTGACAGCCAAAGTTCTAGGTAGTTTCTCAAGGATCATTCTGAGGAACACGTAGCACAAGGCCCTAGGAGGAGCCGCCACCACCTGCTGCACCTTGTGTCAACAATTTTCCATTTGGTTTACCTCCTGATTTTGATTGCATTAGTGTAGAAAGTTGTCAAGTAGAGAGTCCAAGTATACTCTCATGTAGACAGGAATTGGAATACAACAACAACAAAATTACATTTGTATAGCGCCTTTCACGTCAGGAGGACAGACAGTGTTTCAGACCTGAGCTGGGTATCGGGATTGGGGGGATGGAGAGCAGGGGGGGTGAAGGAGGGTGATCGAAAGTACGGTCGAAGTGGAGGGTCTTAAGCACAGTCGAAGTGGAGGGTCTTGATATGGGTCTTGAAGGAGGCAAGGGAGGGGGCGAGGCGGAGCAACTCCGGGATGCAGTTCCATAGGGTGGGGCAGAGTGGCAGAAGGCCCGCCCGCCAATGGTGAGGTGGGGGACGTGAAGCAACAGGCCGGAGCCCGCTGAGCAGAGGGAGCGAGCAGGATGGTAAGGGGTTAGGAGGTCGCAGAGGTAGGGGGGAGGGAGGCCATGGAGAGCTTTGAAAATGAGCAGCAGGATCTTGAACTGTATCCTCTGTGTGATGAGAAGCCAGTGGAGTCGGGCGAGGATGGTGTCACGGAGCCTGGTGTGGGAGAGGACACGGGCTGCAGAGTTCTGGATGATCTGCAGCCTATGGAGGGAGAAGTTGGGGAGGCCGACAGGCAATGAGTTTCCATAGTCAAGCCTGGATGCTATGAATGCATGTAGGAGGGTTTCGTTGGCCTGCGATGTGAGACAGTGGTGGAGCCTGGTGATGTTGCGGAGGTGGGGGAAGGCAGAGGGGGTCATAGCACAGATTTGGGGTAGAAAAGATAGCTTGAGAGTCAAAAAAGATACCAAGGTTCCGGATTGGCTTAGTGAGGTGGAGTGTGCAACATGGATGGAGATGCTGTCAGCGCCTGCGGTGTGGAGGCACTGACGGGAGCCAATCAGGAGAGCCTCGGTCTTGTTGACGTTCAACTGTAGAAAGTTAACTCTCATCCAGGACTTGATGTCTGACAGATATTCTGTCAGCACAGCAGTGGTCCTGGAGTCAAGGGTGGAGGCAGAGAGGTACAATTGGGTGTCATCCGCATACATGTGGACGTTGACTCCATGTCTGCGGATGATGTCACCAAGAGGGAGCATATAGATATTGAAGAGGAGGGGACCAAGGACAGAGCCCTGAGGAACGCCGCATGAGATGGTGCGGGGGCTAGAGGAGAAACCGTTTGTGGAGATGAAGTGGAGGCGGTGTGAGAGGTGAGATTTGAACCATTCAAGGACAGAGCCGTGAAGGTTGAGATGAGAGGAGAGGCAGTGGTGGAGGATAGAGTGGTCGACGGTGTCGAAAGCAGCAGAGAGGTCAAGAAGGACGAGGAGGCAGAGGAAGCCCTGGTCGCAGATGGACAGAATGTCATTTGTCACTTTGACCAGGGCTGTTTCTGTGCTGTGGGCGGCACAGAAACCCGATTGGAGGTGTTCATGAAAGGAGTGGCGGGAGAGGAAGGAGCGAAGCTGAGAAGCAACAGCTCGTTCCAGGACTTTGGAGAGGAAAGAGAGGTTGGAGATGGGGCGGTAGTTTGAGAGTAGGAATGGGTCCAGGGAGGGTTTTTTAAGGATAGGAGTGATGATGGCTGTGCTCTTGACCCAGGTGTGTGCTCACAGCCCAAGCTAAATAACTGGCTTCCATCCATGTTATTTATTTCTCTCATGATTTAAAAAAAATTGTGTCTTCTGTCTTTTCTATTCCATCAACCAGTTCTTTGAATCTTCCTTCGTTCCTGGAAACATCTTTATCATTGTTCTAAGCACCCTCTACAATGTATCAGTGCCCCTTTGAAGGTAGGGTACCAAATCTGCACACAATATTCAAAATGTGGCATCACCAGTGATCTATCTATACAAGACTGGAATAACTTGTTTCAACTTGTCAAATGTCCTTGAAATTCATCCTTTTATATGATTAGTGTTGTTAATAACTGCTTTACAATGACTGTATACTTCATTGAATAGTTTCATGGGAAGATTTAATTTCAGTTATAAATGTGCCCAGTGAATAAATCCATCAAATAATTCACTGTATGGGGATTTTGATTTCTGCAACAAAAGTATAATTTTGTCCATGGAATAATTTGACTGGTTTGCAGTTTTATTGGCTTTTGTATAAAATTCAAATTTAAAGGCTCTCAAGGAAATGTGAGGATATAGGTGACTCACTGGTTCATAAATGACTGAAGAAGAGAACTTATTGTGGTATAGAATTGATTCATCATACCAAGGTGTGTGGGGAAAGAGATTTTTATAAGAAAATAAATGTCATTCAAGAAGATCAGGGCTACTTGTGTTGCTAAATCAAAGAGTAACACATGCAAGTGAATGTACCAAAATGTATAAGATTGGAACAAAATAATAACAACAAATTGCATTTATATAGTGCCTTTCAGGGTCAGGGTAATGTCCCAAGACACTGGACAATCCAGGTTTGCACCTGAGCTGGTGGTTGCAATTGAGAGGGGTAGGGAATGGGGGTGTTGAGGATGACCAAAAGCACAGTAAGAGGAAGGTCTTGAGACAGGCCTTGAAGAAGGCAAGCGAGGGAGCAAGGCAAAGAGATTAAGCAGAGGAAGCAGGAAGATTGGTAAGGTGGGTCACAGAGGGAGGGAGGAGCAAGACTGGAGGGTTTTGAAAGTGAGAACAAGGATCTCAAATTAACATGCATACATTGAAGGGATGCATTAACAATAGGTGGAAAGGAATGGATTTGGGTGGCGTTACTGATTATTTACTTAAGGTTTTCAGTCAATGTGAAACTGGTTATTAACAATGTTAATCAAGACGGCATTCAGCTATATGTTATACAGTAGGAAGGGATGCACAGCCATTTAAACTGATGCTTGCTCATTCACTGGAGCTCCCTACTCAAAGCCCAATTCCCTACTTTTTTCCATATTTTTACCCTTCAAATGTTTATTTAATTCCCTTTTAAATATTGTTCTTTTAAAATGTGTGGTTTTAACCTCAATAGCTACTTGTGACGGAGTATTCTGTATTTGATGATCCTCTAGAAAAAGTTTCTCCAAATGCCCCCTTAACATTTCCCGTAAGAATCCTGAGCTTGTGACCGATTTTTCCAAGCAGTGTGAATAATGGAAACAAATGGAGTTCATTTCAGCTCATTCAGCCTGTTCTGCCATTTTATTTTCCAGTCCCATTTCTCTATATTCCTTACGTTCTCCCTAATTGATTTTTTGCATCCAGAGCCTTCTATTCCTCACTTTTCACAGCCCTTTGTGTGAAGAAATATTTTCTGATCTTGCTTCTAACCCATTTAACCACAGGTTCAAAATTAGAAGCCCATTTGCCTTTTTATTTTTTATACATGGATTGTACCTTCAAAGACCAATGTATTGATACCCCCTGTATCTTTAAGAACTATGTAATTTAGTGTTCATTTCTTTCCCTTGTTCTTTTCTCCAAAATATACTATTTCACATATTTCAATATTATATTGTCTCTGCCAGTTGTCAAAGTTCCCTCACAGATTCCTGGGAAAAGAAGTTAATCTTGTACAGATCCTTGCTGAAACCTCATGGAATATTGCGTGTAGTTTTGGGAGATCTACCTTCAAAAGGACATTGCATTGGAGAGGGTTAAGAGAAAATTCCAAAGAAATGAAAGCATTCCACATTATGAGGAAGAACTCGATAAAAACTGCACTTGTTGGGAAAAGATTAAAGGAGGCACGATTTAGACGATCAAAATTGAAAAGTTTAAATAAGTAGATAGCAAGCAATTTGATGTGAGAGCAGAACTTGAGTGCATGGATTCAGATGAGTACATTTCAAGCAAATGATTAATTGTTTTTCTTTCTCTCATGGTATGATGGAATAGATATTGGAATTGCTTCTCAATGAAAGCAGTTGATGTTGTAACAATTAATTCTTTGAAACTATTTCTTCAGAATTCCCTAAAAAAAACATAGTTCAGAGACCATCTAGAACATTTCCCTAGGAAGTTTTTGGGATGGAGCCCACAGTGATATTTACATCTGGAAGGAGCAAGCTTGATGGAAATTGGGTCTTTAACGTACCATGTTTTCATTAAATTCTCATTCAAATGTACATCAATGTATGATTGTATGCATGTGTTGTGTGCAAGGATTATTATTATATGTCTTCACATTTATACTATAAATCGAGGGAAGGGGTTTAAAATAAAGTCCTGCATTATTTAAATCAATATGTACAGAAGAAAATGGAAGACTAAAATAAATAGAAATCTGGGTCAGATTCCCCTTTCTATTCACCAAAGTCTTTGGGGAATAGAAAGACTTCCTGGAAAATTCACAGCATGAATTTATTTGGCAGATACAAGGGCCCATTACTGGAAGATGGTGCTTTGGACCTGGCAGTGTCTAGTGGAGCAGCATCCCCTGAATACACTAAGCTATGTGCTTGGCTAGTAACGGAACTGAAAGCATTTTACAGTCTGGAGGAAAATGTGAATGCAACAAACAGTAAGTATATATTTTTTAGAATGAGCAAGGTTCTTTGTTCAAAAGATGTGATTACTTAAATCCATTATTGTAAATCCAGGCTAGCAATTTTCTTCCAAGTAACTCAACTGAGGGTCGCAAATCGTGTAATTAATCCCAAACTGAAAGTTGAATTCCTTTCTGAATGTCACCTGAACCATATGAATTGAATTGCAGTCAATAACACAAAATTCAACTTTCCACAAAGTACAGCAATTTTGTTCCAGTAGAATAGAAAGTACAGAGAAACTCCTGATAATACAACACTGGCTTATATCATCATGCTGTTATTATCCTGGCTGCTTCCCATGCAAAATGTGAATAAGGGAACCCACTTTATTTCATCAGTCTGCGTATAAAGCCATGTTCTACACGTTCCTGTAAGAAAAGTATCATGTCAAAGCAAACTTACCTGTACCGCAGGAAAATGTCACCAAGCGGCTCAACCAATGGGGCATCTCATGCACCAGGGCCCCGAAGCAAACTCTCGTGTTCAATGACTGATTGTGGGAAAAAATGCTCAGTGAACTCTCGCACAGTGGCCTTACCTATACTATGCGCGCAGCCTGGAAGAATCAGCTCTTCAGACACTAATCACGGCCCATCTTCCTGCCTCCTGATCCTGACTGACAACCTAGACAGCAATCAGAGCCATGTTACAGAGCAGAGAATGAAAAAATAATGAAGGTTCTGCATGTCCTCGCGACTTATCTACAAAAATGAGAGGAGGCTGTAAGCCAGATCAGTAGTACTTTAATAATAAAAACTGAAGTCTGGGAACACTGAGCAGGTCAGAACGCATATGGAGAGGAAAGTAAGTTAATGTTTTGGGTCGATGATCTTTCATCAGGGAGTTTAACGTTGTGGTTGCTTCTGTTTCAGGAGATGCACATCATTTCCATAGTTTTGTATGGGTTATAAATTGAGCTTTGAGAGATCAGTGTCCACACCTGGATTATACCTTTTCAGCTAGACTACCTTGAACTCGACAATTCAGTGTCTCGCTTTATTACATAAAGATATTTAGTTTTCACATATAATCTCGAAGTACAATACTTTTGTTCTTTAACAACACTACAGTATATCTCTTGAGAAGTGCAGTTTCCAATACAGAAACAGAACTAAGAAACAGAAAATAAGCATGTTTATAGACACGTATATCTATACATAAACATGATGTATCCATAACCTATAGACACCCAGTTTAAAGCCTCTTTATTCTTTGTAGGTCCCAAGGAAGCTGAAGGATTTCAACTAGAGATGAGCGGTTTGCTAACTGAAATTAATTGTCCCTATTCTCTTCTGACGACTGGAGATGTCACTAAACGCCTTCATAACAAAAATAACTGCCTCTTATTACTCAGTAAGTTTTTTTTTGGAGAATCCTAATCCTCTTCTGGTGTATTCATTGTTGCTCAGCTCCACTGGCTCCCCATCCCCCAGCGCATTAAATTCAAGATGCTCGCTCTCACCTTTAAATCCCATCATGCCCAAGCCCCACCCTATTTCTGACCTGCTACCAACCCTCTCTCTTTGTTCAGCGAACACTGGCCTGCTTCTCCCTCAAAAGTACCACCGTGCCATCAGCGACCAATCTTTCTGTCATTCTCCATCCCTTCCCATCCTCTGGAATCTACTCCCGAGTCCCTCCAACTTGCCCCCTTCTTCCCAAGTTCAAAAGTTAATTCTTTGATTGCGTTTTGGTCATTTTCCCCTTCCCTACTCTTTTCATTTTGAGTGCCCAGCTAGCACTGTGATGCATCCTTCTGGTGTGATAGATGAATTATAAATGTATTGCTGAATTTTAAAATTATAAATATTTGTAGTGATACAATATACAGAAATTGCTTTCCTTTGCAACTCTCTTCCAAAGCCGTGTGTGTAGGGAGGCAGGTTCATGCTAAAAAGAAACTCAAACGCCCTAACTTGAGCTGTGTGATTATAAAAATCTATTGTAACATTTAAGTGGATTACTTAAGTTTCAGTTTCATTTCCTCAGTTTTATTTTTAACTTAAATGTCAAGGAGGATGAAAAAGTTGCACTGATGTAACAACTAATGACACCACATACAGATAATGCTACTATTCAAATTGCAGAAATCAATGACATAACACAAGTATGTGGTTTTCGTGAGGTAAAATGCTATGTGGATATTGTTTGCTTAGGTAGTCTTCACGTTAACAAGTAATCTTGGCAAATGTTGCATCGTCACCAGTAACTGAGGGCATGAGAATGAGACGTACCATTAGATAGAAATTCTCCCTGGGTCCAGATTTATTATATTAAACATCTCGGTGTGTAGAATTTAGCAGATTGTTGAATTTAGTTTTAACTTCGAAGCCTGTATTGTACTCAGTATTTCTAACTTTAAGTTCATTTATTGAAACTGGCTTCAGAATTAAAGATTGTATTTAAGAATTTTACAAATTCTTGATGCTCTGAAATGTTACTTTAATAGAATAAATTTAGACCCATGTGAATTTTTGCCCAAATGTGCAATAACTACATTTGACTGTAACAATAACTATACAAAAATTAACTATAGCCCTTTCCCTTTTTTACTCAATATAGTTTAGAGCTGATGAGTGCAGTTATTTGTAAGGATTACTTTACGAAAGTACTTTCCCTTTATAAAAAGAGATTCCTTTTTGTTTACCTTAATGGAGCAGAAAGTGGGGGAATTGGCAATAAAACGCATCTTAATTTCAAATACTTCCAGGCCATATTCTAACAGCTTGTGGTAAATGGCTGTTTTGATGCAGTCGGCTTAATTTCTTGGATCCCTTCCAGATAATCCTTCAGTAACTGGGTGGAGACAATTTACTGTTGTTGGTGATAAGATCTGGGGTTGTTTCAATCTGTAAGTGCATTGAGTTTTGAGGGTACTATTGGCTGACAAATGTAGAAATTGCCTATTTTGAGTTGTTTATCAAATTAAAAAGTGGTAGGACCTGTGGTCATCTGATAAGCAAATCAGTACATAGCCAGTGGATACCACTGAAAAATGTTAAGATGATAGCTGTAATACTATTTGGGCACAAACTTGATCTGCAGGGTTGCATGGTACTTGACTTTGATGACAATCTGTGTTTTTAAAAAAAAATTGAAGCACGATATTCTTTGAAAAATTGGAGTATTTTCGATTGACACAGAGCAGTGACGTTTCAGACTTTATATTTGTTGCATCCACTTTCAACTTGATGTCTTTTGATATAGCTTTCCTGATTTCTGAGCTTGAAGCTTCACGGATGCTTGCTGTGAACAAGATCCCAGAAAAGAAGGAAGAAGAGGAGCCCAGCCCGGCCTTTGTGGAGCTAAAATCTGTTTGCATTACTCTGGGTATGTCCAAGCCCCCAGCTAACATCACCATGTTCCAGTTCTTCAGTGGGATTGAGAAAAAGGTACAGATGAGAAGAAAATTTTCATAATGTGCAACATATAAAACGTCGTTTACTCTCAGCCTAGCTGTTGTAGTTTAATTGCAAATCCATTGTTGGAATTTCATTTTAGAGAATCATAAAAAAGTTAAAGCAAAAGGTTAGAGATCACTTGAAGAGAAGGTTTGTTTTAAAATGCCCTTTGTCTTGAAAACTGTAGAAGCTGTTTGATTTTTCTCTTCTATACCTTAATCAAGAGAATTACCACTGCTGTAAAAATCTGGTATGGGTGGCACTTTCATTCATGGTTTTTAACCCTCAAATAAAGAGGATTAATTTTGACACTGGATTTTATGGTTTAAAAAAAGAGCCCAGGGAAGTTTGGGAACTGTAGAAATCTTGAAAGCCATCTCATTTTAAAAGGTAGCAGTGAACTCTTAAGGAAGTGGCAGGGACATTTGGTTAGAATTTCCCCCAAATCGGAAACCAATAGTGGATTAAGCAATCCATAACAATTGTGTTTCTCGTTTCATATAATTTTATCTTATAGCTCAAATCTATTGACATTGGTGCAGTTTCACTCCATTGTACCTTATTCTCAGGTATTTTCCCCACACAGTTGAGTATTTATCTCTTGCTCCGTAGTAATGTACATCTGTATGTGAGGCTTTACAACCAGCAATTGATGATCTTATGTTTTGTTTTAAAACCAATACATTCAATTAGAACATTAATTTACCTTGGCCTTTACGTAGAATTGCTTAAATGTTTACAAGTTGCATTTACAGATGTAGTAGAAATTCTTATTGTGGAATTTAATTCTGTGATGTATTTACAGTTGGTTCATTTGGGGTTATAACTGTTTAATGTAAATCTTGGCTCTTCTAGTAATCTCTCTAAAATGGGAACCATGCACAAAGATGCTTGTCTGAAATAACATCAAATACATTGATGATGATAACGTCCAATAGACACTTTTCTACTCAAAGTGGAAGGGCTATTTGGTAACAGTCTCAGAGAGCGTAAAGTATACCTTTTAGATGCCCAAAGCCCACTTTCATTCAACTTGCTTTCACATAATACCTCAATCGAGAGGCAATGCCCCCTTTGAAATATTTCTATCTCTGTATGGATACTTGTTAATGAAATGATCACTATGCTGGAAGGCTTCACTGATGACTTGATTTTTTTCAAATATAGAGACTTGTGCCCCATTTTTTCATTGAGGCACACCTACCATTTCAGAAAAAAAATTGTCTTGGATAGACATCCTTAGACGTGATTTTAAATAAAAACTCAGTCGAGCAATGTTCTGTGTTGATTGGAATCTGCCAGCATTAGTCACTGCTCAGCCACAGCAGATTGTCCAACAGGAAAAATGAACCATGACTTAACGTGCTCAAGTCATAGCATTATCGTTGCTTCTGTGTAGTCGATATTAAGCAGTGACTAGCAGCCCAGGGCATTGTGCTTTCCCGTACGTGGCTGAGAATGTCATTGTGCCTTCTACATTTCAAGTAAGATTTCTTTGGTTACTATTGGTTGTTCAATGTAAGGTCCTTCTATTATGGTTTCTCACCATGTATTTCATAAGGCTTCAGCTAAAATTTAGAGGAGTGTTTTTCTTCTAGATCAAAAATGGGCAGAAAAGTCTGCTTCACAAGGGCTGCTGTGGCTGATTGTTCTATTCAAACGGCCTCCCTGAGCTGAGGTCATTTAAATCAGGACAGACCAAGCATCAAACTTAAGATATGGTCCATATGAGTTAGTCCTACCTCAGGTAGTACCTTTACCTAATAAGTTTGCTTCTTCTTGAAAATTGGCTGTCTTGTAAAGTAGTTGCATCAACAAATCTGTGTAATACTATTTCATGGCCACTATATGTCACTAAATGCCCAGGAACAGCTGCTTATAGAAGGTACATTGGATTTCCTAGCAACGATGTATCTTCAGCTGTCCCCAGCTGTAATGTCCTTATAATGCCCTCATCCTCATCCTGTAGCATAGCACTCACCTCGCAAGCGAGAGGACCTGGGTTCGATTCCCGGGCAAAACTAAACATTGGGCAGGTTTTCTTATTTCACAAACCTCTGTTTACCTAGCAGTAAGTAGGACCCATGTTGTTAGTTGATTGGCAGATTGCTTTTCTGTGGGTTTCCTAGATGTGATATATCGAATGCAAGGATTATTATTATCCTCACCTTCAAATGGCTCACCTACCTTTACGATCCTACTCCTCGTCCCCCTCCTCTGCTCTGCCAATTCTGGCCTCCCTCTCTGAAAAGGTTGGTGCAATTAATCAGTGTACCAAACCCTGATCTAAGAAAATGTCTTTGCAAACTTTCTCTCGCATTAGGAAAATGGACAATTCATTTCTGTCTGCTATTATTATCCTCAGCCTTTGAGATGAATTCTGGCATCAATGTAACACTGCTTCTTCACTGCCTGACAATGATCCAAGGGGATTGTTGTAGGAACTCATTTAGCTAATTGCAAGTACTTACCAAATGTACACCATTAGAGTTGTAAATTTGTTAAACAATGCAAAGAATTCAACATCAAATTATAATAATAATCCTTGCATTTGATATAGCGCTTTATCACGTCTGCCCAGTCCACTTACTCGAGGTGGGTGACCTTTCAACAACTTTACTGCACTCTGTGTAGCTCTTCCAAAATGACCTCTGCCGTCCCACCCTCCCCCACCCCTCCCTCTCTTTTTGCTTTCAAAAGCCACCTTAAAAAAAAATTATTTTACTTCGCTTTCAACCACCTTTCTCCTCGCGGTTCAGGCTCCCACTCAGACTCTCTGAAATGCTTCAAGACATTCTCCAACATGAAAAGTGCTATACCAGTGCCCCACAAAATAGATTCAGTCACATAACTTTACAGTATATCCTGTGAAGTACTTTGAGATCTGAATGTGACAAGGTACAACAACAACAAAATTACATTTCTATAGCCCTTTTCACGTCGGGAGGAACGTCCCAAGGAGCTGGATAATCAGTGTTTCGGACCCTGGCTGGGGGTCAGGATCGGGGAGGGTGGAGAGAAGATGGGGAAGGAGGGTGATCAAAGGCACGATCGAAGAGGACAGTCTTGAGACGGGTCTTGAAGGAGGGAAGGGGCGAGGCAGAAGGATTGTGGGATGGAGTTCCAGAGGGTGGAGGCAGAGTGGCTGAAGGCCTGCCAATGGTGAGGCAGGGGACGTGGAGCAGGCCGGAGCCCGCTGAGCGGAGGAAGTGGGCAGGATGGTAGGGGGTTAGGAAGTTGCAGAGGTAGGGGGGAGCAAGACCATGGATGGCTTTGAAGGTGAGGACCAGGATCTTGAACTGCATCCTCTGTGTGATGGGAAGCCAGTGGAGTCGGGTGAGGATGTGGGTGATAGGGTCACGGAATCTCGTGCGGGAGAGGACACGGGCTGCTGATGATCTGCGGCTTATGGAGGGAGGAGTTGGGGAGGCCAACAAGCAATGAGTTTGCATAGTCAAGCCTGGGTGTTATGAATGTGTGTTTGAGGGTTTCGTCGGCCTGAAGGGGGTGAGACGGTGACGGAGTCAGGTCATATTGCAGAGGGAAGGGGAGGCAGAGCAGGTCATGGCACGGATGTGGGTAGAAAGGATAGTTGAGGATCAAACAAGTTGCCAAGGTTCCGGACTGGCTCAGTGAAATGGAGTGTGTAACCATGGATGGAGATGCAGTCAGCGCCTGAGGTGTGGAGGCACTGACGGGAGCCAATCAACAACAACAACAAAATTACATTTATAGAGCGCCTTTCACATTGGGAGGACGTCCCAAAGCGATGAACAGTCAGGTGTCGGGGCCCGAGCATGGGGGAGGGGTGGTGTAGGGGTGAGGGAAGGCAGAGAGGTGCGAGGGCGACCGAAGGCACGATCGAAGAGATGGGTCTTGAGACCGGTCTTGAAGGAGGCAAGGGAGGAAGCGAGGCGAAGGGACCGTGGGATGGAGTTCCAGAGTGTGGGGGCAGAGAGGCTGAACGCCCGGCCACTGATGGTAGGGCGGGTCGGGCGGAAGACATGGAGCAGAACGGAGGGAGCGGGCAGGTTGGTAGGGAGTCAGCAGGTCAGAGAGGTAGGAGGGAGCAAGGCCATGGATGGCCTTAAAGATGAAGACAAGGATCTTGAACTTGATCCTCTGGGGGATGGGGAGCCAATGGAGTTGGGTGAGGGTGAAAGTGATGGGGTCACGGAGCCTGGTGCATGAGAGTACACGAGCTGCAGAGTTTTGGATGATCTGCAGCTTGTGAAGGGAAGAGTTGGGAAGGCTGACGAGGCGGAAGTTCCCGTAATCGAGCCTTGATGTGATGAATGCGTGGGTGAGGGTTTCGGCGGTCTGAGGGATGAGGCAGTGGAGGAGTATGTTGCGGAGATGGTGGTAGGCAATGCCGGATGTGGGTGAGAAACGACAATTCAGGGTCAAACAAGATACCCAGGTTCCTGACTGGCTTGTTGAGGTTGAGTGTGCAGCCGTGGAGTCTGATGCTGTCAGCGCCTGAGGTGCGGAGGCGCTGACTGACGTGAGCCAATCAGGAGGGCCTCGGTCTTGCTGACATTGAGTTGGAGAAAGTTGGCCCTCGTCCCAAGACTTGATGTCGGACAGGCAGTCAGTCAGGACGCCAGTAGTCCTGGATTCAGGGTGGAAGTAGAATTGGGTGTCATCCGCATCCATGTGGAAATTTACCCCATGTCTGCGGATGATGTCACCAAGGGGGGAGCATGTAGAGAGATTCAATGCCCATTTTTGGGGATGAGGGGGTAATTTCTTGAAGAAAGTTCATGATAACAAATGTTTTGCAGTTACAGTGATTGGAAACTGATTTTGTTCTGGTCAACCAGTGTTAGAGTTGATTCCTTTATGAACTGCCAGGTCTTAACGTGTTACAAACTTAACGAGTGACAAACAAGAGGGTCCATTACATAATTTAAAAGTGAATTTGATACAAAAGGCTATGGGGAAAAAGCAGAGAAATGGGTTTAAAATAGATAGCTACAGTCGGTAATTTCCACGATGCAGGGCTAAATAGCTTTGTGGCCTGAATTTTTTATGACTAACAAATTACCTGAGTAAGTTGCCTCTACCTTACGTTTGGTGGGGGAAAGGTGACTTTAAAAATATCTTCTTGAATTACTGATGAGTCTCAATGTTGCATTTGCTTGATAATCTTTCAATACTTTCAAATTATTTTTCCTTTTATAGCTTAAAGAATCTCTCTCAAAGGTGCCCCCAAATCATGTGGGAAAACCGCTGGTGAAAAAAATGCTTGGACCAGCTCATTGGGTGAGTAATGAACTCATTCTTCCTGTGGCACAAAGGTTATTCAGACTGACCCAGAACCATTTTTAATTTGGGCCGAGTATTCAGACCTTTTGCTTGTATCTTAGAATCCTGTTACAAGTTGCTTTGTTGCAAGAAGCCAAAATGGATTACATGTTTGTTTATAATGCCCAATGTTTATATTTTTATTTGAAAAGGTCAATGAATCTGGCTATCTTTCTGGGCATTTCCAATGAATTTCGAAATATTGATTGGTAATAGTGCCCTATTATAGTGCTGGTTGGCATTGTATGAACATGAGCACCACATTATAATGGTGCTGTATTGCTGTATTACATTTGGATCTGAAATGCATTGCCTGAAAGGGTGGTGGAAGCTGATTCGATAACAAATTTTAAGAGAGAAGTAGATAATTATTTGGGGAGGACACGTTTGCAGGGCTCTGGGGAGAGAGCGGAGGAGTGTGATTGATTTGGGTAGCTCTTTTCAAAGAGCTATTACAGACACGATGGGCCGAATGGCCTCCTTCTGTGCTCCATGATTCTATGATTCATTAAGATGTAAGATTTTAATACTCATTGATCATGTGGTCTTCCCCCCCCACCGGCCCCCAACTTATTGGTTATGTAGGACCTTATTCAAGAACTCATCTAATTTCTTTATTTTTGAGCTTTGACAACAGTTTGTTCAGTTAACATTCCTGAAAAGTTTAAGTCATCTTTTTTAGTCATACTTGTACTCAATCTTATATTTAAAAGATTTTCTAACAAGTTTCGATTCGTTATTTTTGAACTTGTTACTGGAAAATCCTAACTCTTTACTTCTGCTTTTGAAAAGCATTTGTGTATTTATTTTGTTGAATGAGATTTGCTTTGATGTTGCTGCATTGTTTAATTTCACCAGATGCACACTTTACTCTGTGTTTGTTTTGTACTTTTTCAGTCCTCACAAAGATTGTGAGATTTTCAGAAACAATCTGTTACAGCACAGCTATTTTTAATGTGTCTAACATTGGTGTGTGGGAGAGGTCTTGTAGGATAAGATAGGTTTGTTCCATGCAAAGAAACTTTTGGATCCAACTTGAAGAGAAAGAATGTGTCAGGTATAGCATATAGGTCAAGATGGAATTGTTCCCAACAAACTATAGCTCCAGTTAATTTGCTTCCAGAATCAATGAAAATATTAGGAAGAAAGGGTTTGGCTTCTCTAAGGTTCACACGTTTCATCTCAAACATAAAGATTTTGTGGCCAGTTGTAAAATCTGTGCAATTTGGCACCAGTGCAAATTACTAAAGCATCCATATTGAGTTGGGATAATCAATAGGCCCAACATACCTTGACAGTTCTATGGACCATATTCAGTGCCATAGTGATTGTCAAGGCACTCCTTCTTCACACTCATACTGACACTGTACCAGCCAAGAATTTTGAGGGTTTTTCTTCCTTTCATAGAGCCACAACTGTTGACTTGTGACCACCACTTGTTGATACTGTTCCTAGAAAATACTAAAACGTTCTTAGGGTTCTTGCAAGCTTCTTAAGAGGATTTGTTCTGCTCAAATTGGCTGCTCTGTTCGTCTACAAATCCAGTCACTACACTTTACTACCATTTAGTTGTGAAACACTTTTATGATATTTCAATGTTATAAGTTTTATATCAAATGCAAAGATTATTCAGAATGAAAAGTGAAGCAGAAATCTCAGATCTTTCATAGCAATATTTGGGGAGAGGAGGTGGGGGGGTAAAGTGAATGGGCCAGGTTATTAACAATATATAATTGTTTTCTTAAGGTCTCGTCCTGTTTTTATAAGTTTTTAAAAGTTAATTTTCTGTTCAACTTGTATAGGAAAAACTAGAGGTCATCAATCAAATGTTTGTGAACGAATATGAATGTCGAAGAAATATGTTGCTAAAGCGTATGGATGTGACTATTCAATCATTTGGATGGTCCGAGAGAGCCAAGGTATTAGAAATTCCTCATTTGAATCTGTTTTTTGCCAAAATGAATGTATGGAGTAGCTTTCTGCTCATCAATAAATTTACCAGCTTTGAGAAAATCCAGTCCTTATAGTCTGTTTTGGTATTTTATATCTTTCTCTTGTTTCTCCTGAAACTATGATTTATACCTGGAAGCAAGTTGCCTTTCTTGGCAAGTGCTGCTCTGGAAATGGCCATAAGGAGGTGGATACTTGATGGGTGAAGTAAATGAAAGGAAACCCAAGCATGGTAAAAATGACCAACACTGTGATTATATTTTCAAAATTAGATATCTAAAAAGGAAAAGATTTCTCAATAGCAATCCATTTTTTAAAAATTCTAAGTTCCTAGATATAGAGTAGATGTTTAGGATGTATTGGAGCTGCAGTGTGCTACACCCATCATGCTACTCTTTCTTATAAATTTAAGAGAAAACTATTTTGTAACACAGTGGTCTTTGGGCTTCTAATCCTAGTGATGCTCTGCTTTAATAATCATAACCGTAAACTTGCCTCAACAGAGTAGCTAAATTCTAAATCATAATTAGTAATGAGCTTGTATAATTCTAACTTTTGATCGAACTTCTTACATTTTGTGGTTCCTGTGCATGTTCTGCTTTTCACAGAGCCAGTCCGAAAAATTAGCCAAAATTTACCAGCCTAGGCGTGCTGCTTTGTCTCCAAAAGGCACTATTTGCACTGCACATCTGCTAGCTGCTCGAGAAGATCTGTCGAAAATTATGCGAACCAGCAGTGGCTACACCCGAGAAAAGACTGCATGTTCCCTTAATAAGGTAAGTGGCGTACAAAATGTATACAGAGGAACCTAGTAATAGCGTTCCTCAAGTATACAATGCAAAATTACATTTGTTTTTCACCTTTCATGTCGGGAGGACGTCCTAAGGCTCTGGACAGTCAGAGATTTGGACCCGAGCTGGGGGGGGTGGGATCGGGGAGGGTGGAAGTTAGGAGGATGGCCAGAGAGGAGGGTTTTGAAGGAGGCAAGGGAGGGGGTAAGGCAAAAGGAATATGGATGGAGTTTCATAAGGCAGGGGCAGAAAGGTTGAAGGCCCACCCGCCGATGGTGGGGCGGACCGGGTGGGGGACATGGAGCAGGCCATAGCCTGCTGAGTGGAGGGAGTGGACTCGTTGATATGGGGTCAGCTGGTCGCAGAAGTAGGGAGATGCAAGGCCATTTAGGGCATTGAAGGTGAGGACAAGGATTTTGAACGCTATATAGTGAGTCTATCTGGTGCCTCACCTTGTCCTGATTAGCTAGTTTCCTTCACTAAACGATGACCAATTCTGGGCATTAGATTGTTGCTATTTGAATTGCACTGACATCACTTTGTGAAGGAAGTGAATCATCATATTTTCTTGTGCATTTGCAGTGTGCAGGATGTGACATCTGTGTGACCCGACAACCCAGATGTCAGATCTATTTTAGCACTTTATTTATAATGTGACCTGTCAACTTTTGGATTTGGAGGACCACATTATAACGAGGTTCCCCTGTATCGTGTTCATGCTGTGAGGTTTCCAATTTTCGCACAACAATGGCTCAAAGCGGCCAAAAAGTGAATGACCTGATTTTTTTAACATCGGAGATTGACCAGGAGAAACTCCCTTCTCTTTACAAATAGAGCTGTAGGATCTTTAATGTCCACCCGAACAGGCAAATGGAGGTTCAGCTTAACGTCTTATACACCTCTGATAATGTAACGCTGCACTGGAAAACCCATAACCTTCTGAATTAGAGGGGAGAATGCTACCAACTGAGCTTTTTAAACATTTTAATGATTCCTTTTGGATACTTGTATTTTAATGTACTGTTTTTGAAATCTTGAGTTATTTGACATTTTCATTTTTTGGGCTGAAGTATGAATGATCACTGTTGCATTACCACAGGTGAAGTTAGGCTGTACTTTAACAGATGTATTTTTAATTTACTTTTTACTTGTTGGTTTTGTGACTTTTTAGGTACTAATGGGAAGAGTGCCAGACAGAGGTGGCAGGCCCAACGAAATCGAGCCCCCTCCACCTGAGATGCCACCATGGCAGAAAAGACCAGACAATCCCCCATCCATTGGAGGTCGGGGAGGAGGAAGAGGGGGATATGACCAAGGCTTTTATGGAGGAGGTGGAAGAGGAGGAGGAGGAGGATATGACCGAGGCGGGGGTCGTGGTGGACATGATAGAACAGAACATGTAGGACGTGGAGGAGGCAGAGGAAAAATTCAAGGAGGATGGTCTGATGGAAGTGGTGGCTATCAAGATAGTGGCTACCATGGAGGAGGAGGTGGTGGTGGTGGTGGCTACCATGGGGGGATGGGAGGCTATCAAGGTGGTGGTGGAGGTGGCAACTACCAGGGGGGTGGTTATCAAGGAGGTGGCTACCAAGGACATCAAGACAACAGATATCAGGATGGTGGCCATGATCAGGGTGGAGGAAGGGCTGGTGGTGGACGTGGAGGTCGGGGGCGTGGTGGTCGGGGAGGACGTGGAGGACAAGGATGGGGAAGCAGAGGTGGAGTAAGCTACAACCAGGCAGGACAGTTTGAGCAATATTTCCAGCAAGGAGGCCAACAGTTTAGCCAGTCTGGTTTCTATCAAGGTAGACAGTATACCAGCTAATAGCATTGTAGTACTGAATACCAGCCTCTTGCCACAAAAGGCTCAGACCCACCCATCCACGAGTAACGATGTTTGAATACAACTAAAATTCAATACCTTGTATTGCAGCGTTGCAGGTTTGTTTTATAAACAATGGGACTAGAGATTGCTTTCTTGCAGCAAGAGAGAGAGAGAGCGAGCTTGTGATTCTAGATCTGCTTCTGCCTTCCCCTTTCCTCCCCTATCCCCACTGCACTCCTCCCTGAAACAAAAGTTGGATTTTCGACTTATAACGATACTTGAAGCGCAGTAAGAATGAAAAGTAACTGATTTGCATTATGCATGTGTAAATGCTATTGACTCGGCAAAACCTCTTGGTTTTTTGAAATGCACTACAAACCGAACCCTGACTGAGCCTGGAGACCCATAAGTTGATTGTTTGAACAACAGCACATACTGAGCTTATGTTTCTTTTGTGTTCTACAGTTCAAGCCACATGATAGTACTTGCTGGCTGTTAATTGTAAATAAATGTATACGTCACAAGCAGAGTGAACGAGTGTGATCTCTGTGAAAGGTGAGCAATAAAGAATGTTGTTTGCTGACTGGAGCTGTTGAGTTTTTGTTGAGCTCAGTGTACGAATTTACAGCAGCTCAGAGAAGCTCTTTGAGTACTGAAGGAGGATTTCAACACTTTTTTTAAAAAAAATTCAATTTCTGCTTTTTTTTCTTCTTCCTGAAGGATTCTAGAATGACAAATGTGGTTGGGAAGCATCTGTGGTTTTTTGCATTTCTAACTTGGAGATTTACTGAAAAGTCGGCTCTTTTGCACATGTGTGTAACTTGAAAGCTCAGAGGACGTTCAGTATGTAAAGGGCTAGCGTGTAAAATTGACTAATTCGCCTTAAATTATGAAAATGTTGTACAATGCCTTTAATTCTACGAGGAGAAGAGGATATTAGCATGCAAACTGAAAGGATTGGTTTAGCCAAGTGTGGCCTGGTGTTTGTCAAACACTCAACTCGTGATTTTTTTCTTAGTTTTAATCCTGGCACTGGTCAGGTTTTTGCTGCAGTCTACAGTATGTACTATGTGTTTGGAACTTGCAATCAGTTGTTGAATAGGGATTAATGATTAAAAAAAGGTGGAAATAAAACTAAATGTGAAAAGAGATATCCTGTCGCACACATTATTGCGTTCATATGATTTTAGCTCAAATTCTGTGGTTAATTTGAGTAAAAGTTGGTTGGTTTGTATCAATTTATCCACTGACTCTTTGTTGACCCATAATCGGTACAGTAGTTCATTCAGTCTGACCTTTTGTTCAGTGTTTGATATAAAGATTTGTTGTGTCCAATGTTGTCTTTCTGCTCTGGATGAAACATTGCTCAGGTTACAGTTGCAATTATGCAAGCAGAGGATCGGAAAATTAACCTCTTGCTATTTAAGACCATAATACATGCAGCTTTTTGATGGTTCTTTGGCTCGTTTTTAATAACTGCACAATTGAAATTTTTGAGCACTAGAGGGACATGCTTATCAGCCAGCAAGAGCTCTCTACTAATTACATTAAAAGATGACAAAAGGAGAATGCTGTAGTGGTCCCCTTTATGGAGTGATGGAAGAACTATTGTTTTATTTCATGTGGCTCATTTTGAAGAGCTCTTGCAGTTTGTGGGTCACTAATCAAAACTTGTCGCTTGCCTTTTAATCAAACAGCTCTTGCAAATGTCCAGTGCTGTTGAATCCTTCAGGCTTCGCTATAGGAGTCAAAAGAAACTCGCTGCAATCGTTTACAGTGCACATGTCGATTTGTCAATTAACAGAATATATTTTGGGTTCAGTATTGTATCGATTTCATGCAGCATGAAGTATTAAAACATTTGTTTCAGCGCCTTCACAATTAAGTGAAGTTGGAGGTTTTCTCCAGAAATGGAGGGAAATTTGTAATTTGGACTGTTAAGAATACACAAATCATATTGTATTGCAGTGTATTTAAATTGGTTTCAACAAAGGCCTTAGAAATCAAATCTAGACTCGAATCTAAAGATAAGCTATTAAGACATGAGCAGTTTAACAAGGGGATGGTATCATTCTGACCCAATATGCAGTATAAATTTTGGTTGTTTGATGCTGGCAGTAATCGTTTCTCTTAATACACTGGAACTTTATCCTCTGCCACTTGTGCAGGTTTGCAGATTGTTAAATAAACTTGTTTGTTATTCAGTCTCATTTCTATAACTTATTGAAATTTGTTAACCAGTTTCTTACCCCTTCCTTACAACTGTGAATTACGATATTTCAATGAAAGATAATTCTATTATTGTCAAGTTGAAATCTCTGACTCAATGGGACTGTTTAATAGAATGTGTATTAAATTTGGCAGTTGTCAGAGAAACTGAAGCAGAGAAGTCTCCGTAACTCACTTTTACATTTCAACCCGTACTAGGGAATTGATAGAAAGTATTTAGTTCTTCTAATTTTAAAGTGCCAAAAAAAGCTTAAAAATTACAAAACTTCATGAGCAGTTCTTACTATATATATAACATAATATATACACTATATAATATATATAATGGTTGGGAATTTACGTAGAATTGTATAGAATGATACGGCATGGAAACAGGCCATTAGGCCCAATTAGTCCCTACCCACCCCTCCCTCCACACCTTGAACCCGTCTCCCCCTCTTATCACCACCATAACCCATATGAAACCCACCACCTGCTCCCTGGATCCCATCCCTACCCCTCTCCTTACCTCCCAGCTCCATCTCCTTGTCCCTCTACTCAAAGACATCGTTAACCTCTCCCTGTCCTCTGGTACTGTTCCCACCCCTTTAAAAAACGCTGTCATCATTAAAAAACCCTCTCTGGACCCTTCTCTATTCTCTAACTACTGCCCCCTCTCCAAGGTCCTGGAACGAGTTGTTGCTTCTCAGCTACGTTTCTTCCTCTCCCACCACTCCCTTCTCGAACCCCTCCAATCGGGCTTTTGTGCCGCCCACAGCACAAAAACAAAGTGACAAATGACATTCTGTCCATCTGCAACCAGGGCTCCTTGACCTCTCTGCTGCTTTTGACACTGTCGACCACTCTATCCTCATCCACCACCTCTCCTCTCAACTCAACCTCCATGGCCCTGTCCTTGATTGGTTCAGATCGTACCTCTCACACCGCCTGCACTTCATCTCCCCAGATGGCTTTTCCTCTAGCCCTCAGACCGTCTCGTGTGGCGTTCCTGAGGGCTCTATCCTTGGTCCCCTCCTCGTCAACATCTATATGCTCCCCCTTGGTGATATCATCCGCAGACATGGGGTCAACTTCCACATGTATGTGAATGACACCCAACTCTACTTCTCTGCCTCCACCCTTAACTCTAGGGCCACTGCTGTCCTGACAGAATGTCTGTCAGACATCAAGTCCTGGATGAGAGCGAACTTTCTTCAGTTGAACGTCAACAAGACCGAGGCTCTCCTGATTGGCTCCCGTCATCACCACCTCACCACAGGCGCTGACAGCATCACCATCCATGGTTGCCCACTCAACCTCACTAAGCCAGTCCAGAACCATGGCGTCCTGTTTGACCCTCAACTATCCTTTCTATCCCACATTCGCGCCATCACCCGCTCTGCCTTCCCCCACTTCCGCAACGTCGCCTGGCTCCGACACTGTCTCACACCACAGGCCGCCGAAACCCTCATACGCGCCTTCATTACATCGAGGCTCGACTGCAAACTCACTGCTTGTCGGCCTCCCCAACTCCACCCTCCATAGGCTGCAGATCATACAGAACTCTGCAGTCCGTGTCCTCTCTCACACTAGGCTCCATGACCCTATCACCCCCATCCTTGCCCAATTCCACTGGCTTCCCATCACCCAAAGGATACAGTTCAAGATCCTGGTCCTCACCTTCAAAACCCTCCATGGTCTTGCTCCCCCCTACCTCTCCGACCTCCTAAACTCCTGCCATCCTCTTTGCCCCCTCAGCTCAGCTGGCTCTGGCCTGCTTCACATCCCCCACCTTGCTTGCACCACTATCAGCGGGTGGGTTTTCTGCCACTGCACCCACCCTCTGGAACTCCATCCTGTAGTCTCTCCGTCTCGCCCCCTCCCTTGCCACCTTCAAGACCCACCTCAAGACCCTCCTCTTCAACCGTGCATTTGATCTCCCTGCTTCCCCCACCCACCCCGACCCTCAGCTCAAGTCTGGAACTCTGTCTGTCCAGCGCCTTGGGATGTCCTCCCGACGTAAAAGGCGCTATATAAATGTACTTTTGTTGTTTACTCCAAGTGGACCTACATCCCTCTATTCACTTCTCCCACATGGAGGCATCAACTTTTCTCCTAAATGCATTGATGCGGAGTCCTGTAGCTCAGTGGTTAGAGCACTCGCCTTGCAAGCGAGACACCTGGGTTCAATTCCAGGCAGGGCAAAACCTTGAGCAAGTTTCCTTACTCCACACACCTAATAATAATACGTCCAAAACAATAATAAATTAGTCATTTTCAATCCACGACTGTTTGGGGGACACTGCTGTGTGCAATTGGCTGCCGCGTTTCGCCCACAAATATACAGTCAATTCACTTTACAGCATATTCTTTGAAGCGCTTTGAGATGTCTAGAAGATTTATCGTTTTATCAAATGCAAGGATTATTATTTTTGTTAACTAAAACTTCTGGGAGTGGGTTTCATATTTTCACCACCCTCTATGTGAAGCATTTCTTCGAAATTCCATTTAGATCACCTGGCTATCATATTTATGCCATCCTGTTTGGAATTCACCAACGAGTGAAAATAGCTTACTAATGTCCACCTTATTGAATCATTTTCATATCTTAAACTCATCCATCGTCTTACCTATCCTCTCCCTATTGTTTCAATTCTAGAGAGAAAAGCTCCAACTTATCCAATCTTTCTTGATCAGTTTCCACTCTTCCCTGGTAAAATTTTTGTAAATCTACTCTGTACTTTCTCCAATGCTACACTATCCTTCCTGTAATGCAGTGGCCAGAACTGTACACAATACTCCAAATGTGATCTATTGAAGATTTCATATAAATATAACATTTCTCTACTTTAACCTCTGGGTATAAAACCAACTGTTTGCATTATTTGTAGCCTTGTCCACTTGTGAAAGGCGCGACTATACAAATGTAAGCTTGTTGTTGTATCCTGTGAATCCCTAGCTCCCTTTGTTCCTCTAGCCCTCTTAGGTTATGACTTCCCAGGGTATAGTTAGTTCCTTCACATTTTCCTATATTTAAATTTATACTAAATGGAGGACTTTCTTCAACCGTGCCTTCACCTCCCTTCTCGACTCTCTACCCCCTCCTCGCTCCCTCCCTTCCCACCCCTCACCCTGACCATTTCCCCCCTGCTCGGGTCCCGACCCAACTGTACAGCGCCTTGGGACGTCCTCCCTACGTGAAAGGCGCTCTATAAATGCAATCTTGTTGTTGTTGCACAAGATGGGTGAGATCCTTGTTCACAAAAACATGGTGAAGAGAGATGAATCACTCCTCGATAAGATATGTGAGGTATTAATGTAACTGCCATAGTTACAATAGCCAACAATAAAATACTGTTTTGCTACAATAAATCAGAGTAATAAGAATACGACTTAATATTTGCTATGTTTAAATCTGAGCCAGGAAGGGTGGTTGATTCCAAGACACTGGACTCAATTTTTTAAAAACAAAAGCTTGTTAGGTCATTTGGGTGGGCATTCTGGAAGCATAAGAGTGCTCTGAATGGCAAGTGATGCGGTTTTAGTTGGTTAAACTCCAGTAGTATCCCAATGTAAACTTTGATGTGCCGAAGTGTTGTCTCTTTCCCAACGCGTGCCAAAGACCCTATGGAATTCGGTAAGCAGAGTGCAACCCTCCAGAGAGACAGTGCATCCTATTCCAGACACAGGGAAATTTCCATTTGTAGGTGCCTTACATACGCTGTGTGTAAATTGACTGACGTTCACCTACAAGTTCAACAACAACAACTTGCATTGATACAGCACCCTCCACGATGAGCGACGTCCCAGAGCACTTAAATTAAAGCTATATTTCACGGTAAAATCCTGTGAAGTGTTTTCAGACGTCTGATTGACATGATAAGGCACTATACCAAATGTAAGGATTATTATATGTGGAACTCTGCCTTGGTTTGGATGCTCTTTAGCATGGCGATAGGTTTCTGCCTGTGTTACACCAAGCTGACCAAAAAATATTTGTATTGCAACATCTTCCTAACTATATATAATTATTATTATAATATTTTATAATATTATTATAAAATAATAAAATTATTTTATAATTATTATAATAATTATACCTTCCATGTTTTATAATTGTTGACTGACTTATTTTAAAAAATACTAGATATTCTCATTCTATATTCCTTTGTAGTCCAATTTGCAAACTATCAAGGAAAAAAGGAGGCTATATTTACAACAATTGTGGTTTGAGATATTGAAAATGTTTACATGAAATTGGTATAACCAATGGCTGTTTTTTTTAAAAAAACAAGGTTCTTGCCTTTTCTGTAACAGGTGGATAGACAGAGCAAAGCAGTTAAAAGAAATGCATTTAAACAAATGAACAGTGCTTTGTCAAATTGTGCATTGCTGTACTTTTGTGCTTCCAGTGTATATAACATTTTGAACTAGAGAAATGTAATTCTATTACTCTTAATAACTTTACTCAAATGGTATTTCCTAAAATTGGCCATTTAACAGAATTGCCTAGTTAACAAATCTAATAATAATAATCCTTGCATTTGATATAGTTTCTATGATATAGGTCTCAAAGCACTTCACAGGATATACGGTAAAGTGAATTGATTGTGTATCTTGTGCGTGAAATGCAGTAGCCAGTTGCGCACAGCAGTGTCCCACAAACAGCCAAGGAATGAGTCACTAATTTGGGGAACTATTGGCCAGGATACTAAGAAACTCCCTTCTCTTTTCGAACAGCTCCATGGGATCTTTTAACATCCACCTGGACATACAGGTGGGTCATCTCATCCAAAGGATGGCGGGTCCAACAATGCAATACCCCTGCACCCACCACCCAGCGCTGCATTGGAGTGTCATCTTGGACACTATGATGCTGAGTCCCGATGTTGGGCTTGACTCCACAATCTTCGGACTCAGGTGCAAGTGCTACCACTGGACCAGGAGGACACACAATTGTATTAACAATCTGCAGATGAGCTAAGTTAAAATGAGC